GAAGTGATGATTGATGAAAATGATTGATAGCAGAATACATCTGTAAACATACCAGTTAATTTTTTTTCGGACTACTCTAATACTGTTGGCCTGGGTTAGGGGATTATTAGTAACATTACTAATAATCCCATCACTAGCAATGTACCATGTCAGGTTGACCTCCACGCGGTTCCCCCGATAACTTCCTGGTGAATTTGTCACGATGGGTCAACAGACCTGACCTCATGCTCATCTTATCATCCTCCATTGGTGTCCAGCTATTTGTTGCTTTAATTAAGTTTGTTTGAATAAAGGATTTTCTATTCTGTTCTATCATTCAATGAATCAAATTATATATAATTTGAACTAGCTTTTGACCGCGGATTCGCTCGCGGTTTATCCCCTTAGGGGTGGAATTTATCGAAATCCTTTCTTAGGGGATGCCTACGTCAAAATTGCTTTATGCATGCAAAGTCTCAGCCCGATCGGTTTAAAATTGACGAAGTTTCATACAAAATTTCATCCCCTATTTTATCTCCTTGGGCGCAGAATTAATCAAAATCCTTTCTTAGCAGATGCCTATGTAATAACATCTACCTGCATGCCAAATTTCAGCCCGATCCGTCCAGTGGTTTGGGCTGTGCGTTGATAGATCACTATGTCAGTCACCTTTGAGTTATATATAAATAGATATATTATTGTGGGATCAGATTTGACTAACGATGTAGATTCCCAAAACTACTTAATTTAATGAATTAATTATTTGCAATCAATTTTATACAATTTTTCACTTTTATTCAATAGATCACTGTGTCAGTCAGTCACCTTTGAGTTATATATATTTTCGTTTAAACACGTTAATGTTGTCCCAATAGAATAATAAATAGGGTAATGATTGTCAGAGGAAATATACGGGGTTTATAAATAGGTGCCGGGCATTGAAAGGCTTTCATTTTGTGATAATTTTAATAGGCAGCCGGTACCTACAAAGCTTTTATGCGGAATTGACGAGTGAGCAAGTTACGCATTCGGATATTATTCAATTTGTATTTTTTTATTAGATACTAGCTGTTCCCGCGACACTAACTTAATTTTCTAAAATAAAACATTTTTTTTTAAATATATGTAGCCTAAGTTACTCTTTATTACATTAGCTACCTGTCAAAAAATGTCCCGTCAAAATCGGTCCAGCCATTTTAGAGATTAGCCGGAACAAACAGACAGGCCGACAAAAATGGAATAAAATGTTATATTCCTATGCATGTAGTAAAATAACGCTGTAGTAAAAATTTTATTTATATATATAGATATATTACGAAATGTTTCTGTAATATAAAATACTTGAGCTGAACTGTCAATAGGTTCACAGTACTTACCGCACCTAAGATTATCTTTTTAGATAAGATAGAAATTTATTATAGTAAATTAGTATAAAAAAAAATCGCTGTCTATGCTTAAATCTTTAAAACTACGCAACGGATTTTGAAGCGGCTTTTAGATAGAGTGATTCTAGAAGGTTTATATGTAATACATGTACACCCGTGCGAAGCCGGGGCGATTAGCTAGTATAGTATAAGTTAGTTCAATTCACTTAATTGGAATTCTATATATAAAACGATAAAAAGGAAAAAACAAGAGCCAATTTTGTTTTTTCTTATGTAGAACATGTTACCATTTATGCAAAGCAGCATACCTTCCATTGCACCATGAAGGTCACCATCATATTAATAAACCAAATTGGTTTATAAAAAAACTATAATAATTGACAGCCTCGGTGGTTCAGCATATCGCTATACTATCCGATGGTCGCGGGTACGATTTCTCGCACAAACATTTTGTATTCATGAGTATGATTGTTTGTATCGGATTAGGTGTTTACTATGTATAATATGTATGTATTATTAAAAAAAAAAATCATTTATATATTTATATCAGTAGTCTAGTACCAATAACACAAGCTCTGCTTAGCTTGGGACTAGATGGCGTTGTGTGAATTGTCCTGAGATATTATTATTGCTTAAAGTATTGCATAGTTAAGTAGTTTCATTAAGAACAAAGCTATATATAAAGACTAGATTAATAACCTTCTTGCTCATTTAGCTATATTTCCTTTCGATAATAGCGTGTCTATATTGGTCTGCGTATTACTAAGCGCATTATGCATTTAATAAAAAAATATATCTAAATATTTGTATTAGTAATCATAAGACTCCACATGGCGCTGTGTGAATTGTGCAGCCTTAAAGAGGTCAAACGGCCTGAGCCAAGGCTCGAACCCTTAGAGGTGCCTTCAGACTAAAGTCGTATCCGTCAGGCGGGAGTTGGCCTTAAGCCGCTCTATAAGTCCTTCCTTTAGTTTGGAGTGCCATCTGCACTCGCCCTCTACCGTCCGGTGAAGCTGTAAAGGCCAGCTGCGGCCAACAGAATTAGAGTAGTTCGAAATGTAGATTCAACTACTCAACTGTTTTTTACTGTGCTTAAATACCTGTACTGCTTGTGGGGACTAATCTGTTGGGGCTACGAACACTGATTAGACTATTTGCTTTTCCAATAACCATATGCTGGTGGTCACTCTATTCTCCCAAGTTTGAATTTAAAAATGAATCTGTATTATTGTAAACATGTATTATGTTAGGGTTCACATGGATATTTTCGAAAAATCTGATATTTTATGTTAAAAGAAGGTAGTTTCATTATTACTCGGTATCGTTCTCATATCTTCTCTGTATAAAAGGGAGGGTTTTTGTAAGCCGCGGCACTCCGGCCGATAGAGGATCAAAATTACGACCTGAGCCGAGGTTCGAACCCCTAGTGGTGCCCTCAGACTAAAGTCGTATTCATCAGGCAGGAGTTGGCCTTCAGCCGCTCCATAAGTCCTTCCGCGGATTTGGAGTGCCATCTGCACTCGCCCCATAACGTCCGGTGAAGCTGTAAAGGCCAGCTACGGCCAACAGCATTAGAGTAGTCCGAAAAAAAAAAAAAGGCCGCGGCATTCGGTCTTTGAGCACAGGATGTGCTGGTTGTACTTTAATTGCTAAAGTGAATTGTGTTAGAGACATAGTTAAATTAATGTTATATAGTTGTTATTTTATTATAATACATACTTTTACTAGTACATAGAGTTGATATATCTAACACTAACATTCATTTGAAAAGAATACGAGCTGAGTTTCTCGTCAGTTCTTCTCATCTCGAAATCATTCCGAACTGACGGTAGATTTGATATATCATAAGAGTCTGTGATAGACCTACATAAATATAGTTAGATACATGTACATATATATACCTCGGACAAAGAATTAGACTAGCTATTCAAAGAGGGAACGCTGCCAGTATCTTCGGAACTTTGCCTAAAGGGACTCATTTTACTAATATATTTTAGTTATTATATTATATTTATTATGCTTTTTAATTTTAGGTTCTTAATTGTACAATTAAGTTACATAAATAAATTTGAATTATATATCAATTTACTTATGTGTTACGAGTAAATAGTTTATTTATACAATGAAAGGTATAAATATCCGATCTCAAACCACCCTGACTCGCAGGTACACTGCGCTAGTCCGTGCCAACCACTGCCTTAGCACCGCTATACACAGAATTAAGGGTTAATTGTAGATACTCTTTGTATCAAATACAGTCAACCCTCCTATAACGCGGTACTCTCAGAACGCGGTTTCCATATAACGCGGAGCTGAAATTGCGACAGCCCTCCTATAACGCGGTACTCTTACAGCGCGGTTTCCGTTCAACAACGTCCCATCAGTTCTTTCCGTGCACCCAATGAATGGTTTTAACTGGATATGTTTATATCAGCGTGGTTCACGGGTGGGGCTCCTCATGCGCTATCTTCCACTTCTATTAACTAAATAGTTTCGCATCGACAGCGTGCCATGCGTGTGTGTGTCTAACGAAACTGTAACATGAAAGATATATATGTGATCTTTTGACTACATTGTCACGTGAACTATAGAAAAACTACGTTCTGCTTATGTCTTAGCCGCTTAAAACCAATGTGAAGATCAACCAAGTGAGGAAGACATTTTGCCCATTAAAAGAAGGCGAGTTAGGCGACTCATATCTGACAGTGAGGATGAGTGTTGAAAGATTACATCATTTTACAAAAGTCTTTCTTTTGTTTTTGTTGGAAAACAGTTTTTTAGTTTAGTTTTTGTTTAATTTTTTTCATCATTTCCTTATTTTTATTGAATTGAAGAGTTCATACTCTTCAATTCAATAAAAATAATTTATAATTTATCTTGTCTTTTGTATTTATTGGTCTCCATATAACGCGGTACGAATGATGTGATTTGTACTTATTCTGAGTCTCTTATAGCGCGGTTTCCATACAACGCGGTAGACGGTTTCCATAGAACGCGCTACGAATTAGCCTGGTTTGTATGGTTAAATCCGAGTTTCTTATAGCGCGGTTTCCATACAACGCGGTACGCACTCACCGCGTTATAGGAGGGTTGACTGTATATCATTCATGCAAATCTATCTATCTATATATACTAGCTGTTCCCGCGACTTCGTCCGCGTAGAATTTAACTTTATTTTTCTAAAATAAAAGAATTTTTCTGATTACATTAGCTATCTGCCAAAAAAAGTCCCGTCAAAATCGGTCCACCAATTTCAGAGATTAGCCGGAACAGACTGACTATAAAAATGTTACTTTGGTGTATGTACCGTATTATAAATACGGTACATACACCAAAGTAACATTTTTATAATTTTCATATGCATCTAATAAAATACGGTTATTTCAATATTACAAACAGACACTCCAATTTTATTTATATGTTTAGATAAACTAGCTACCCCGACTTCTAACGGGTGTACATGTATTATACTTCATTCGCTTCATTCTTCAGATACAAATTAACAAAGTAGTCCTTTTATCCTACTGGCAACATTCGCACATTTAGAGGGTAACCCGAAATTGTCGATTTTCCTTATAAATCGCCGCCAGCCTACATTTAACTCATTCTTTTATCGTGCGCGGCAACAAGCACAAGTCACTTTTCATTTTAATTATATATTTTGTCCAAGTGTAGTGTTACTATGCCGAAACGTAACATACAATATTACGAAAGAAAAATTGAAAAATTGAGAGCAAAAACAAAGAAACGTCGGAGAATGGTATTGTCTTCATCGTCAGATTCCGAAGAAAATGAAGGTAATTATGAAATTATTTATACTGAACGAACGAAAACATTTTGCATCTCTAAGCTGCCCTATATTGTTACTATGTACCTATAAAATTTATAATTTTATAACAAAAAAGGGTTCAGTATGATGTATAATATTAACCCGTAAGTTTGACCAAGTCAAACATGAGGGTCCTATAAAATAAACACCTATAAGCTATACTAAGTTTAGTATGGTGTATTACAAATATATTTGTGTAATCTTATTTATGAGGATTATGATACAAATGATTATCTACCTTACAATATTTTTTTTTTCTCTTCCTTTTTGGTAGATAACGGAACTGTGAACGAGGATATATCAGTACCTATTCCTAACATAGTAACCGAGATAGAATCGATACAGACTGCTTCGAATGAAGATGTTTCAAATGAGACGCAACTCGACCCCGACGTATTGTCAGCATTAGGAGATGCCGTTGAAGAAACGCCTGTATATGGGCAAAATATACATAACAGTTTGGCAGAGCGTTGGATGCCCATATTACGCAAAGGTTTGTTAGAAGATACCAAAACCAAATTATTTAAGGAATATCCCATCCCAGCCAATTGTAAACTGCTAAAAGCTCCTACCCTCAATTCAGAAATTTCAGCGGCGGTGGCAGAGGTAGTGAGAAACCGTGATAAAAGTATCCTAATGAAACAAGATCAATTAGGCTATGGAATTACCGCCGTGAATAGAGGTATTTCATTACTGCTCTCTGGTGATGACAAAATACAAGCTATCAAGGTCTTATCTGATGGATGCAGGATTTTAACAGACTTACACTCTTTGGAGACTAAACTGAGAGTCAAACTTATCACTCCTTGTCTGGATAAATCGTTTCTATTTATTATAGAAAAAGAAGATAGGGACGAGACCCTTTTTGGTGTAAGCCTCCCGGAGAAAATGAAGGCATCCAAGGCTATCGAAAAGCAGGGTCATCAAATAAAGAAAACAATAGGGACTAAACTATCCGCATCAACATCAGTTCCATCTACTTCCAGAGGTCGTTACCAGGAAAACTGGACAGGCCCTCCTCGTTATCCCTCGTCGATCAGGGGGGGGCGCGGAGGGCTTCAACAATCGTCACGCATGCAATACCGTCGCACGGCAACCAACTTGAAACCAATTCAGTCGCGACGTGCACCATCCAACAACAGGCCTGCCCCACGTCAGTGATTCAGGTACATGCAGGCAGATTAAAATATTTTTATAAATGTTGGCGTACTGTGACTAATAATAAAATTGTACTAGACTGGATTCGTAATGGTTATAGGATAGATTTATCAGAAAATATTTCGCAGTCTGTATTACCCTCTAATTTTTTATCTGATAATGAGATGCATAATATGTTTTTAGCTATTCAGGATTTGTTACTGTTAGGTGCGATTTCAGAATGTGAATCTCAAGTCGATCAATACGTATCTAATATATTTTTAATACCAAAATCAAATGGTAGTCAACGATTTATTTTAAATCTAAAACCATTGAACAAATTTGTATATAACTATCACTTTAAAATGGAAGATTTTCGAACAGTTTCAAAAATTATTCAAGAAGACATGTTTATGGCTACCATTGATTTAAAAGAATCGTATTTTTTAGTTCCCATACACCATACCCACAAAAAATATTTAAGATTTAATTTTCAGGATAAAATGTATGAGTTTAATGCAATGCCGTACGGCTTATCTTCTGCACCAAGAATTTTCACAAAAATCATGCGTGAAGTAATTTCTTGCCTTAGACGCCGTGGTTTCTTGTCTGTAATATATTTAGATGACATCTTATGTTTAGGGTTGACATATGATCAATGCTTACATAATGTAATTGAAACAAGAAAGCTATTAGAATGCTTAGGTTTTGTGGTAAATTTAAAAAAGAGTTCTTTACGGCCGAGTCAGGAAAAACAATATTTAGGTTTTATTTTTAATTCGGTTACTTTAACAATATCTCTACCTAATGAAAAACGAGTATATATAAAGGGACTAGTAGGAAAGTACTATTCTTTACCATTTTGTACTATTAGAGATTTTTCACACTTAATAGGGGTGCTTACTGCAGCTTGTCCTGCAGTAAGATATGGCTGGCTGTATACTAAACGTTTAGAGAGACAAAAATACCTCTCACTTGAAACATCACAGGATTATGATGCCAAGTTTAAACCATCGGCAGATATTTTACCCGACTTGAAATGGTGGAGCGAAAATATTTTATTGACCGTTTGTCCACTAAAACCAATAAAATTTGACACCATAATATACACAGATGCGTCTAGGTCCGGATGGGGTGCTTTTTGTAATAGGAAACGCGTTAATGGTAAATGGAAGGATACTGAAAAGAAATTTCATATTAATCATTTAGAATTACTCGCTGTATTTTTCGGATTAAAGTGTTTTGTATGTAACAAATATAACTCAAATATCTTGTTAAGAGTCGACAATACAACAGCCTTAAGTTATATCAATCGTATGGGTGGTATTCAGTACCCACATTTGAATGATTTAACCCGCGAAATATGGCAGTGGTGCGAGATTCGAAAAATCTGGATAACAGCGTCATATATAAATACAAAAGAAAACGTAGAAGCGGATGAAGAGTCAAGGAAAATTAATCCCGATATAGAATGGACTTTGAGTGACACGGCATTTCAAAAAATTGTCCGTGTTTTTGGACAACCTAGTATAGATCTTTTTGCATCTCGTACTAATGCCAAATGCAAAAAATATATTTCATGGAAACCGGATCCAGACGCACTAACAGTAGATGCTTTTACCATTACTTGGGAAGAATTGTTCTATGCATTTCCCCCAGTTTCCGTAATTCTTAGATGTTTACAAAAAATAATTAATGACAAATCAGAGGGTATTTTTGTTTTTCCATATTGGTGTACACAACCTTGGTTCCCGTTATTAAAATCTATGGTGGTATCAGAAATATTGTTCTTTAATTCTAATAAGCATATGTCATCCTCTTGTTCCAGAAACCGGCATTCCAAGTTCCTTACCCTGGCTGTAGCCAAGCTCTCCGGGAAGCATTTGTCAAACGAGACGTACCCACGGCCTCATTAGATTTAATAATGGCCTCTTTGGCTAAAAATACTTTATTACAATATGGTGTTACGTATAAAATCTGGTGGGAATATTGTTTTACTAACCATAAAGATCCTTATGTGTACTCAATGTCATCGGTTATCTCTTTTTTGACAGACCAATTTAATCGTGGTGCTGCTTATGGTACGTTAAATAGTCATCGCTCTGCGCTTAGTTTGCTTTTTGGGAATGATCTTGGTGTTGAAGAAAGGATAAAGAGATTACTTAAAGGGGTATTTAAGTTAAGGCCAGCTGTACCAAAATATACATTTACTTGGGATCCCCAATTAGTGATAAATCATGTTTCAAATTGGATCCCAAATAGAGAATTAACCCTTGATAAATTAGCAAAAAAAATGGTGATCCTTCTCGCATTATGCACAGCTCATCGGGTACAAACATTATCACTAATAAAAATTGATAACATTAGAATAAACCAAAATGGAATTGAAATATTAATAAATGACATAGTGAAAACTTCTGCCGTCGGACGTGAACAACCGACACTTTTTTTGCCTTTTTTTCAAGAAAATAAGAATATTTGTCCAGCTATTACAATACAAGATTATTTGTCAGTAACTAAAGATATAAGGCCTCTGACAGTTAAAAATTTGATTTTAACGTTAAAACGACCATATCACGCTGCGACTGCGTCAACTATTAGTCGCTGGATCAAGCAGGTGTTAGCAGATAGTGGAGTGGATGTCACACAATTCGGGGCTCACAGTACGCGGCATGCGGCTACCTCTGCTGCACATGCCGCTGGCATCTCGCTTGATGTTACTAGAAAAACGGCTGGATGGACACAAAATTCACAAACTTTCGCAAAATTTTATAATCGCCCAATAATAGATCATAGTGGCTTTTCTACAGCAGTTTGTTTAGGAGAATAATTAGTAATGTAATGTTGATTCTATGTACTGATTTATTCTATCATAACTTTATAATTTACAATTTCTATTTAATAAAACATAAGTGATTAGAAATAAGTCTTTAAATTTTGAACCTATTTTCATTAGTAACAAAATTTTACTCTAAACATCTACATTGTTAATTTGTATCTGAAGAATGAAGCGAATGAAGTATAATAGATGATCAAACGAACTTGCAAGTGAAGTTCGATCACTATTATATAAATTCGCTTCATTCGAAGATATAACTACCCTCCCTTCCCATAAACCCTTAGAATCTCAAAATTTTGTTACAATCTCTAAAGAATGAGTTAAATGTAGGCTGGCGGCGATTTATAAGGAAAATCGACAATTTCGGGTTACCCTCTAAATGTGCGAATGTTGCCAGTAGGATAAAAGGACTACTTTGTTAATTTGTATCTGAAGAATGAAGCGAATTTATATAATAGTGATCGAACTTCACTTGCAAGTTCGTTTGATCATCTATTATACATATAAACCATCCTCTTGAATCACTCTATACATGAAAGAATACCGCTTCAAAATCCGTTGAGTAGTTTCAAAGATTTAAGCATACATAGGGACAGACAGGAACAGCGACATTGTTTTATACTATGTGTAGTAATGATGAATTGCTTTCGTTAGTCTCGCTAAAACTCGAGAACGGCTGAACCGATTTGGTTGATTTTAGTCTTGAAATATACGGCGAATTCCAGGGAAAGTTTAAACGGTGATAAAACATGAAGAAATTGCATGTATAATAGTAAAAACAACAATTGTATTTTCCCATACAAATGGATGATACCTGTCAAACAGGGTGCGTTCAAAAATTTATTACGTAATTAAATTTCAAAAAATCTTTGATATATTTATTTATATACTTTTCTCTTGATATTATTATTTTTATTTTAATTGCATAATATATGATTTATTAAGTTAATGTATACGTATTTTTTAATTGTAATATTTGCGCGTCCGTACTGGGTGCCCAACTGAAAATCAGCGCTGGAAACTATTTCCAGCATTATGCTGAGTTGTGGTCCACATTGACTCCGTTTTTTAATGTGTAAATTATTCTTGTATTTCTTATGTTATTACTGTAAAAACGACTTAATAAAAAAAATTCTATTCTATTCTATTCTATTCTAAAATTCTATTTAATTTTGAAGCGGAACGGAATATATATAAAATTGGAGTGTCTGTTTGTAATATTGATATAACCGTTTTTTACTACATGCATTTGAATATAAATACGGTACATACAAAATATGATGTGCTATATAAATTTTTACATTATTCTTTATACTGAATTATACAACCAAACTCAAATTTATAACCCAAATCCCTTTAAATAAGTTTAAAACAAAACAAACAAAGTGTTGCTTATCATGCATGATCTAAATGAATAACTGAATTTTCTAGTTATTTTTAATACGATTTCTATAATCAATGAAGACCATGAAGAAAGTAGGTCGAATATATGATCAATGTACATAGTCATGTATACCATTGATCTAGTTGAAAGTATTGCGACGCTGTTAGTTTACTTTAGTTAGTACTAGCTGTATCCGCGACTTCGTCCGCGTGGAATTTAACTTTATTTCTCTAATATAAACGTAGCCTAAGTTATTCTTTATTACATCAGCTGCTTGCCAATAAAATTCCCGTCAAAATCGGTCTAGCCATTTCAGAGATTAGCCAGAACAGACAGACAAAAAAAATGTTATTTTAGTATATGTACCGTATTCATATGCATGTAGTAAAAAACAGTTATTTCAATATTACAAACAGACAGTCCACGACGACCTCGGTAGTCTAGCGGTCTAGCACACCGCTTTACAACCGATGGTCGCGGGTTCGATTCCTCGCACGGCACAAACATTTGTATTCATGACTATGATTGTTTGTATCGTTCTATGTGTTTTCTATGTATAATATGTATGTATTTACAAAAAATAAATATCTATGTACATGTATCAGTTATCTAGTACCCATAACACAAGTTTCAACTAGCTTAATTTGGGTCTAGATGGCGCTGTGTGAATTGTCCTGAGATTATTATTATTAATTTTATTTATGACAAAAATGAATTCGTCCTCTGTTCTCTGGCGCTTGCTGTGCCCAACAGGGACCCTAAGTGATCAATTATATACTTTGTTCTTTTAGTATAACAGATGATAATCGAATAATGCATCCGCTTTGGTGGGGTACCAGTGGAGGATGATAGGTCAGGTCAGGTCAGATGAACATCAGGTCAGGTCACTAAGCCCATCGTGACAAATTCGACAAGAATTTATCACTATGGTTTCCTGACCGTACTGAACCTGACAACCATGTCAGTGTACCAAGATCGTCAATACTCATTACTTGCAATCCCCTTTCCTCCGATCTGCTTTGTATTAGACCTACACAACTCATCATCATCTGCTTCTTCCTTATCCCATTTATTTGTGGTCGGCGTAATTTGTTTTTCGCTTCCATTCATCCCTGTTCGCAGTCATCGCGTTATTTACTTCCTTTCTTACCACATCATCTTTCACACAGTCCATCCATCTCTTTTTTGGCCTGCCTCTGCCCTTATAACCATCCACATTCATTTGTAACATCTTTCTTAAAATATTATCCTCGTTCCTACGCATTACATGTCCATACCATGATAGACGATTACTCTTCAACCTCTCTGACACCGGTGCCACTTTCATACTTCCTCTTATCCATTCTTGTCACACCACACATCCACCTCAACATTCTCATTTCAGTTGCATGCAGTCGTCTTTCATCCGTCGCCTTTACGGGCCAGCACTCTGATCCATACAAGACAGCAGCCAATTAGACCTACACAACTGTTTACTGTAAAATTATGGAATCCACAGCTTAGAATAGAATAGAAAATCATTTATTCAAATAATCATAATTTAAGCACTTTTGAATAGTCATAACAATTTTTTTTTATCTGCCGCTCATTCGGAAAGCTGTCTCATCACATGAAGAACGAGAAAGAAACTTGCGTGTTGCTCTTTTAAATAATCCTTGTAAGTTCACATTTACAAGTCAAAACATGTGAATACAAACTACCAATCAGCACTAATTAATTACGGTCAAATATAAATACACAATAAGGTTAAATCAGTCCTAATGATAAGAGCAGACCAGTCTTAAGAAGCAGCCGTGTGCTGTTCACGAGTATGACGGATGAGCTAGCCATCACTGCGCTCGACCATATTGTAGGGAGCCCAATGTCTCGGCCCACCACGCCGCCATATATCTGGACACTTTAGTAAGCATGACTACTCATTCCACTCGACCGCGTCATAGCTACTTAAAATTACTATATGGTAGTTACAGTATTCGCATTTTACATGAGGATGCATGCGGCAATCAAAACAAAAGCCGCTACGCTATCATATATCAAGAAAGAAGTATGAAATATAAATTATAACGTTGTCCGCAAATAAACTTATTCTTGCTAGATGTTTAATAAATGAATTAAATAAATAATATGGTTTTTATTTTAATATCATTTTCATTCATCTTCTAGCAACCAATTGGTTATTAATCTTATATATAAAATTCTCGTGTCACAGTTTTCGTTCCCATACTCCTCCGAAACGGCTTGACCGATTCTCATGAAATTTTGTGAGCGTATTGAGTAGGTCTGAGAATCGGCCAACATCTATTTTCATCCCCCTAAATGTTAGGGGGATGAAAATTAGTCCACCCCTAATTTTTTTATTTTATTTTAAGGCAAAACAACGTTTGCCGGGACAACTAGTTATTATATAAGAAAAAGTTATAAACGTTAACGCAAAGACCACGGTCACAAGTTCGGTATAAGTAAAATATAAATTATTTTTATTCACTCATTAAACAATTAAGTCATTTTGCATTTGAAATATAATTAAAAATACTTATGCTGCAACCAAAGTGAATACAAAATTACATCTCTGGTGAACGTCGCATACTCTGTGTATTGAGGGATTCTTTAATCCCGCTATTGTGTTCACGAGTTCGAGGTTAAAAGATATATTACCTTGTATGCTGAACGTGATTCCAAGTATATCACCAGGACTTAATACAATCTATTATTTAAGAAAAGAGCAGATTTGAAGGAATCACCCTTGCTGATAAGTCTGTAGTCGTTAAAGATATGCACAGATGTAGGTAACTTTAAGGATGATTTAAGGATGCTCGAGATATCGGTATCATAGAAAGACAATCATAATAATTATAATCTCAGGACAATTCACACAGCGCCATCTAGACCCAAGTTAAGCTAGCCAAAGCTTGTGTTATGGGTACTAGATAACCGATACAAATACATAGTATAAATAAATATAACATAATATATATTCCGTCCTAGTTCAAACTATTGCAACCACCATAACTCTACAAGTATTAATTTTGGTTGCTACTATTTTTGTGACTGTTGAAATAAATACTTATTGGTCTTATGTTA